CGAAAATTTGTTTTTTTTTCCATAAATAAATCAACAACTTTGAGCGCTTTGAGCGATCTGTAAATATTTTTTGGTGTAAAAAAAGAGCACGGGTATATTTGTATCGAGATCGGCTGAGAGCAATATATTTTTTTTTTTACCATCCTAATGAGCATTTGTTGTTATTGTCGGCCATCGTTGAAGATGTAAGCGTTGCGATAAGCGCTCTCAGCTTTGCATTTGCAACTTGCCTGTGTTTTTTTTTTTAACATATATTTCTGTTATATTTCAATAAATGTGAACTACAATGGTGCTAATTGTGGCATGCCGCATGCGGTCTGGTCTGTCGCGTTACCCCACCTTAGTTGTGCCGCGCTGAAAGCGAAACAAATTCTTATACAAATACTGACTGCACTCATTCTCTATTGCTTGCTTTCGTCTAGTCGGCCGGCTAACTGTTGACTCAACGTTGGTGGCTGTTGCTTGATGGCAGTGGGTGGACATCGTAAATTCATGTTACAAGTGACATAGAAAATGAACCGCTATAGTTTTTAATTATTTTATAAAGCGAATGAGGCACGCCTTTATTTGCTCTTTTTGCAAATATCATAAATTATCATGACAGTTTCACTATTTGTCTCTTTGTCTCTTTGTTTTATTGTAGCTTATTGATTTTGTTGAAATACACTTCTTTTTGTTACAATTATGTTGCACAGGTTTTACGTATAATAGGAAATACAATTTGGGAGACATGTTGCCAAGCAAATTATTTGCGATATTTTTTTCAGTTTTTGCATTAAAACCATTTTTTTTTACTTTTTTATGACGAGTCCACATAGATGGCTACCATAGTGTTCTGATGCACGTTCCGTCTGATGTTGATAAATTGGGAGTGTTATTTAACAGTATTGTCATCTACTTCTACATATTTCACAGAGGAGCCTTCCTTGTTTAAAATGAATTCTTTCGAGAGCGGAAGTAAATTCCGCTTTTCAAAAATATTCCGGTCGAAAATTCTTTGCAATTAAAATTATTTCGGGTCAAAACTCTGTGGAATTAAAATTTTGAAAAGGAATAAAAAAATGTTTAGGCCCAAAATTCCTTTTTTTAATACTGAAAATAAAGCAATCTTATTCAGATTTTAAACAAAAAATAATGGACAAAAGAAGTTAATATATAATCAAATGTATAGCAATTCTTTTTAGAAAACAAATAGTTTAATATTTTTTACATAATTCTTTGAATTTATCGAAAATTAATTTGGAAGGTAATAATTCAATATTTTTCTAAGTTCGTAAATCTATAACATAAAGAATATCCCCAAAGACTTTTTAAGTCCTATTCTACTATTTTACAGAGTTCAGAAATTAATTTATAATCTTACTGAAACTTAAAAATATTTAAGAATAATGAAACTAGAGCTGGAAAACTATCGATGGCACTAACGATAGTATCGCTGGTTTTTGACTATCGAATGGGTTTGTTAGCACTATCGATAGTTTTCACTTATATGTAGGTACATACATTATTCAGTAACATACATATTTTAAAGCGCAGATGCTGCTTGTAGCCAAACATAGTTGATCAACTTTTGTTCCTTAAGAAACATATCGACATATTTTAGCAATTCTGATCTCATTTTCAATAAAAGTTGTTATGTTTAATTTTTGGACTGTTTTAATCAAAACTATCGATAGTGTAGACATTTTCAATAATATCGATACTATCCATGGTTGTGACTATCGACTATCGAAACTATCGATGGTCAGCTCTATTGAAACATCTTTCTGGTTGAATTTATCAGATGTATTCAACTGAAAAAAAAAACTGTCGACTATTTCTGATATTATGAAAAATAGTTTTGGAAATATAAAAATATTTGCAGGACCGAAAGTAACATGTCACCTCATGTCACCGGGCTATGTTTTAAATATATCCTAGCAGCATCATTTGTGTTTATAAAAATATGGCAATATTTTTCCTTGATAGGCAATTACATAAGCTTTTTCAAAGCCTTGATAGAGTCCTTAAAATCAACATAAAGCATGGCATCGCTCAGATTAATGGGGTTCTACATATGTATGTGGACAAGCCATTGAAAATCATAACAGTCGGATCCATGTCATTGTAAGCAGCCGCGGCGAACATTTGAACGATGGTTTCTAGTAGGGTTTTTGTGACTCTGTGATATTTAGAAATCCACTTGCGGCTACATCAGCCTAGCGCTTGCCCCCTCTGGCTTTATACCGTTTTCAGGTGGATTTGAACTGCCACTGAATGTATGCAGAAATTAAAATACTAGGGAGTTCGTCTTACATATCGCCCAACTAGATCTAAAGGGAGCTAACCCAAAAAAAAAAAATGGACGAGGTTTTCGCATAAATCAATTCATGTTTATGACTTATTTGTAATTAATGCAAATATTTTTTCTTCATGATTATATTCACTAACCAACTAAAATCTATTGTTATACCTGTTTCTATTTTAATTGCGCTGAATGTGTACGATCCATAAGTAGTTATATTTCCGGATCTAATTTTTGAATTAGCTGCGTTTAGATCTAGGTATGGGGTATGTGGGGTTACCTACCACCTCTGGGATGTGCTCATGGCTATTGACACAACTACAATTTTTGTTGGTTAGGACCTTCAAAATTCCTCTTCCTGCCGCAATGCATAGGGATGTCTAGAATTTCCTCAAATTCTTCAACTTCTTTGTTCCTCATCCGAAACATGTTGCTAACCGTATTATAACATCGATGCCAGACTTTCACGTTGTTACACTTTTGTTACGCTCAGCAATTTCATTATCAACACCTCAGCTATAGTGCTCGTTAATCCATTACCGACAAATGCAATAAAACAAAAAAATGCAAATTTTTCCACTTTTTATGACAACTCAACACATAAATTCAAATTTTCTGCATCTTTGCCACAGTCAACCGGCACGCCGACGGCCAGTCTCCATACGCGTAGTACAAATGGTTTCATAGCTTTCCGGTTTGTAAAGCTGAACTTATGTGTGTGTGTGTGCATGTCTTAGGTAAATATCTACCGATGCAACCTGCAACATGCCACGCTTAAGCTGCATACACACTAATGCCGCTACTACTATTGCTCAGCGGTCACACGCGATCTTTATCGCTGTACTCGATAAGAGGTGTGCGCATTGCTGTTTATTACCTTGCCAACAACAAATACATATGTTCATGTACACAGAGCAGCAACAGCAACAAAAAAACAATAGCAACTTGCTTTTAAACATTTGCTGCCTCTATTAGTATTTTATTAATTTCATAATTCTTGCGTGAAAAAAGTGCAGACGGCTCAACCACATACATACATATTTGACCTGCCTTTAGCGCAGCGCTTCTCTCCGGTGCGAGCATAAATGCGGCCTATTTAAGACGATTCGCCTGGCATACACTTTATATCATTCTTTATTATGCTTTTGAGCCGCTCTCCTCTACCCTTCGCGACCGAGGTTCGAGTTCGATGCGGCCAACAGCACGATTTTATTGCGTGTTTCTTGTCTGCTATCCGTTACACTAGGCTTTGTCTTTTACTTCCTTGCCTGTTTCTCTTTCATTCAGGTAGGATTAATTTGTTCGCGAGTAAAATTCTTTGGTATTCTTTTGATAAAACAAAAATGCGATTGAGCAAAGGTGGGTGCGTGTGTGTGTGTGTTTGTGTGTATCGATGCATTTGTTGCTGTTGCAATGATAAATGTCCTTTGAATTAGTTCAGCTGCCGTTTGGCGCAGTCCAATGAATTTTTCACATTGAAATATTAATTAAGTCGTGAAAATTAATATTAGTTTGTCCGTATTTACCCTGAACCTTTCTACTCTGTATGAGTTTTTATTGTTAGCACTCTTTTTATGTGGTCATTGCGTTGGCGGTAGTATTTGAAGGGTCCACATTAAGTTTTTATTAGCTCTTATGCGATTATGCTTGATATGCTAATTTGTGACAAATTTTACAAGCCAAAGGTATTTTAATATTTAATATTTATGTATTTGGGGAAAATGTGTGGCATCGGCTTGCTGTTTAGTAAAGGTCCTGTAGTATTTTTTTGTATACAGTAATAGTATTAGCTTGCTACGCATAAATGTAGATATCCAACTTATCCAAATTGTATTCAAAAATTATTTCCTTAATTGAACAAGTTAAGTAAGGGAAAATGTTTAGTTCTGTATCTTATGTTTAGGTCTCCACCGGTATTGGGTCATAAGCTCCTCGAAAATATTATAAAGCCAATAACAAAATAGGCATATCATGTGAAAGGTTTTGAAGCAAGCGGTAATACTCGTTCGGGTATAAGTAAAAAACTCTAACTGTTAAGAGTAATAATTAGGTGCAATCCCGTATTCTTCGGACTAAAGCTAGTATAATTGTCAAAAAATAAAACTTCGCTCAGAGCGAGAGAGTAACATTGGAAAGTACGGGATCGCTTTCTAGTAAAAAATGGTAACTTCTGTCAACTTCAACATAACCTCCAAATTTTGGTTGTAAATTTTTGCTTATTTTATGCGCACTTTTCTTTTGTTTACAATTTGGTTGCCAAACACACTACAGCTGATCGTTTGACACATTTACCAGAACTTGCCAGCAAAAAATCCTCGGACTAAAACTGGTAACTTCTGACAGAGAGACTTTTTTTACTCTCTTTTTGTCCTCTCAATGGTCAGAGAACCGAGTACAGGATCGATTTCCAGTAAAATCTGACTGGTTTTGACTAGTCCGGACTCGTACGGGATCGCAACTATTATTTGTTGGCCACGAAGTTTTCTCCTTTTCTCTGTACTATAACTAAAATGGTAGCGCATGCATAACTGTGAAATTTGGACATGTAAATAATGGACTGAAAATTTTATTTCCAATAGGGAGTTGAGAGCGTTCAACATGGAGAAACCGCATTTTTTAATGAAAAAAAATAATATCTCTGAAAATAGTACCTATAATTTGAGAATTTTGATCTTTACATATATACGTATTGTACATAATCTTCTTTCCCTTGCAGACGTATGTTCCCCACCGTGCGTGTCAGCTTCTCAGGTCCTCTACGTCAGATACAACCACCCGATCGTTATGCAGTTGTGATGGATGTCGTGCCAATGGATTCACGCCGTTATCGCTACGCTTATCATCGTTCATCGTGGCTGGTAGCAGGCAAAGCGGATCCACCGCCTCCAGCGCGACTTTATCCGCATCCAGATTGTCCCATAAGTGTGGAGGCGCTAAGGAAACAGGTAGTCTCTTTCGAGAAGGTGAAACTGACGAATAACGAAATGGATAAAAATGGACAGGTGAGTGCGAAGAAAATGATAAAAAAGAAAGGTTTCAAGAAAATTTTTGGTTGGATATAAAAACTAACAATAAGAAGAAAAATTAGTGCAATACTAGTGAACGGATGCCATACTTTGAGATAACTTCCTCGACGCTCTTTAAAGCAAAGTAGGGTATGAACATTTGCATGTGTATATGTATGTAGTTATTTGTATACAATCGACAAACTTGTTACTTTGCAAACATAAATATTTAACAAAACAGTATAGACGCTTTGTGGCGAAGCATTATAGTAGAGGAGTTTTCGCAAACTCATACACGCCGGCATTAACATTTCAATAAATACATATATGTATGTACATACCTTTGCACGTGCAAATTACCTATCGTAAAAGGCACAAACGAGCGGAACAAAAGGCGGAACTCAACGATAGCGAAGAAAAAAATTAAATAAGTCAAAAAAAAAAACAAAAAAAATTCGAACAGAAGCAGGTTATCACATATACAGCAAAGTAATCATGGCAAAGTGGTGAATGTGAAATTTTAAAAGGTGGCAACAATGATCGTAAATGCAGTTTTTTCGTATTGTTTTCATTTCTTTATTGCCGTGATGGTCACTTTTTCGCTTAAACTGTTATTTCTACACTTTTCTCTGCATTTATGGACACTCTTGTTTTTACATATTGTACATACATATCTACATGCATACATAATTTCTGCCATAAAAGTGCACGTAGCTGCGCCATCAAGACAGTGTTTTCAAAATGTTTTTGTTTTGCTTTTTGTTTAAAGCAAAAATATTCGCAGAACACTTAGATGGTGAGTTCACAAAACAAGAGAATGGTGGCACTCACGTTCTTTTTTTTTACTTAAAACAATATAACAAACCGAGATAAAAAAAATATCAAAATAGTGTAGGATTTTAAACAAAATGGTATAATTTGATTATACTTTAAAACCCTTTGAATTTCATATTAGCTTCGCATTGGCCCCATTTACCTTGCTAAATAAAAAAAATCGTTGACATAGAACATTTGGAGTTAATTCTTGCAGGTTTTGGATTTTAAATAAAAAGATTTTTACGAGATATTTAAAATGAAATTATTTTGTTTCCAATTTTTCATTGCAAATGCCTGGCTCATAATATGGTACATAGTTGGTAGATAAAGGCCTTCGATTTGCTTACATATCTCTCTATTTATCTCTGCGAGCGATGAGGCATGATGGGAAATAACCTATTATCACATTGGCCACTTTTACGGCGAGCAGACATGCATACAATTTTGATTTTTAAACAATTTCGAGAAGATTAATTTCGATCATTGCGTTGTCAAATGCAAGATTTTGCCTCTTCCTGATTGGAAGCGGCCTATCATCATTCGCTCGGGGGCTCAATAGCCTATTTATTTCTTAAAATTTTTATTAATGTTTTGTTTATTTTTAATTTATAGTGATTTTATTACATGTCGCTTTTCTCACTTTCTCCAACCTTTCCACAGATCGTCCTCAACTCCATGCATCGCTATCAGCCGCGCATACATTTGGTGCGCCTCGCCCATGGCCAAAATATACCCCACACTCCAAAGGAACTGCAAGAATTGGATCACAAAACGTATGTTTTTCCTGAAACTGTATTCACAGCGGTTACAGCGTATCAAAATCAATTGATAACAAAGCTCAAAATCGATTCGAATCCATTTGCGAAAGGTTTTCGGGACTCATCGCGCCTAACTGATTTCGATAGGTAAGTAAAAGTTTAATAGGTGCTGGTAATGTATACATATGTATGTATGTATGTACACTAGTGCGGGTCAATTTTTTTTTTTAACACGCGAATATAGCACAGGAGGATTGTACGTGTAATTCTAAGCAAATTTGCCGAAGAAACCATGGGTCTAAAATGCATTTGGAGTGTGCCAAATTGCGGAAATTGGTTTCGAAGAAAATGTGAAAAATTCACTGTTGCGCCCTCTGGTGGAAGCTTTAAGAAAAAGATAAGTGTAGAAATGAATTTCTCATAGCAAAAAAAAAAACGTATAGCATGTTTTATGCAAAATTTAAGCACGTATTTCCGACACTGCAGTGAAATGCTAAGAAACCTATTTTCGCAATTTGGAAAATTTGCTTAGAATTACCCGTACAATCCTTCTATGCTATACGTTCTTAGTCGAAAAAATCACCCATACAAATTGACCCGCCCTAATGTACATACATACATAAATATATGGATGTGTGAAAGACACAAACGCAATGAAAAAGAACGGAAACAAAATTGCCACATTTCCATAAGAGATGAAGATATGCCTAAAACCTGCTGAGTACTACCAAAATAAACTTTCGAAATCTACCGACAATGGTCAGTTTATCAAATCGTCTCTTTTAACTTAAAGCTTCCTTTGAGTGATCCATCCATATTCTGCTTCACTATTTATCTGCTTTCTTCGCATGTCTTCTCCGTCGTAGAGTAGTGAAAATGATTGATTGCATTCGACGCTTGTCAAAATACGTTCGCATTCTTGTCTCACCTTTAGCTTTGGGCAGAAGCCAAGCCAAGAGAAATGAATCAAGGCAACAAAAGCCAATTTAGCAATAAATAAATTTTCAGCAACAATTACGCATTTCACTGGCATTGCATGTTGCGTGCGTGCGCGCGTGCGTGCATAGCTGCCGCAGTCAAAGGTTCGCTTTTGCACCCAAAATTCCATGCCTACTACACTGGATCCACTCACCGTCGCTTACAAAGGTACCAATGTGTGTCGCCGCCTTTATGTGCGATGCGTGTGCTGGCGAATGAAGTGTTAAAAAATTATATCGCATGTCATAAAAGCCGAAAATATTTTGGCCGCAAATTTGCTAAATTTGTGTATGAGGAAAAAATTGAGAGATAATAAAAATTTAAATGCATGCAGTGTGGCACATAAATAAAAAAAAATCGACAGAAACTACAAAACACAAAGTGTTGCAAGTTGCAGACAAGCAGCCAAGTTTGCGCACTTAATGAAAAAGAATGCAAACTCCTAAAGTGTCGGATCAAAATGATTTTCACTTCTTTCCGTTTTGGGCTATATAAATGCTGGAGCGTTTTTTTTTATTGTTCGACACTTTCGGTGCAACAACGAAAAAAAAAGAAGAAAATTCTGCCACTGCCACTGCCACTGCAAATCAGCAAGCAGTAACAACTAAAACAACAACACAGGTGTATCATACAAGATATCTTTACAAGCAGTTGTACCATATAGAAGTGCTCGTACATATAGCAGCAACAACAACACAATTACGCAGCGGCCGGCAGCATTTTAAGTTGGCCGAGAAAATTATAGGTCGGCGAATTTAACTTTGAAGCTCATTCGTACATGCAACACGAACATGGCCAACTAACGAAACGCCAGTAATGAGTGAATACTGCTGACATACAATGTTATTCTTACAGCAACAAAAAAAAAACAAACGGTTTTAACATCAACTTGAATATGCACCAGTACTTTTGTTGCTATATGATTGTATGAAAACTTTTACTATTTTCCGTTTTATTGGTGTTATTTCCATTCCATTCGTGTTCTAAGTTGCTTGTAATTCAGACTTTTTGTTGTGATTACTTCCTTTGTTACTATTCATTGCGATGTTGTTTTGCCAACTGCTAATTATACACTATCAAATGAGAAGTAAATGAGACAAAAATAATGCATTAACACAAAAATAGCAGAAAAAAACCTCGACATTCAAATGCAAAGGAGTGTTTAATAATTGTTGCGAAACCATACTCTTAGCAACATGTTGCAAACCAGATTGCTAAGCTGTAAGCTCTGTCGCAATGTATCTGTAGGATAACTGTGTATGTATGTATGTGCAGAGTGATTAAAAAAGACCCCAGCGAATGTCATTTAAATCTGGCCATAAAAAGGGTAGTATCATGTCACGATAATGTTCCCCATAACAGCGTTACCAGCATAATTTTCGAAGAAGTACGATCTGATGACTCCGTCAGGCCAAAAAGCACCAGTACAAAGATGCACTGGTATTTTCGCGTTTTGCTCGGACCCAGTTTCTTAAAATTTTTGCGCCAAACGGCTGATTATTGACTCAAATGGCCGGTTATGATGACCGAAAAAATCACGCAATGTGCGAAGTGCACAACAACCATTTCCGTAAAATATTTGGATTAGTTTTACACGTTGTTCAACAGAGTCCAGCTCCATCATCAAGTTTGACAAAGCTTGTAATACCAATTGTCTGAAAAAAAAATTATAAAAAAAGCATTAACATATCAGAAATTATTGCTGTCAAATATCTGCATCACTATTTAATTTACTTTTTCTCCTCTGTTGGGGCAACTTCCATCAGCACCGTCTTAAGTGTAGGGTTACCCAGGCGTTCGCTCGAAGGGCTGGTATTTAAGGAGAGCCATGCGCTTTGATTTATTCAAGAGAACACCCTCTTAAGGGGTTGACGTTTTATATTTTGTCAAAAACTGCGACAGAATGATTATTATTTTATCAATATTTGCTGTGGTATCTTCCAATGGGCATATGCAGATGATGTGTTTTGATGAGACTATACAGATAGATAGATATTAAAAATAGGCGTGCACCGGGAACTACTAACCTATTGTGCGCACTATTTTTCACAAAACTTATTCTAAACCTAAATCCCACAGAAGGTTTAGCAGCGCTTTCGGGGTTAGGTTAGATTTGGATGGTTGCGGAAATGCCCAAGTAACAGCTAAGTGCCGTTTTGATAACATATACCTCGAATGAATATGTTAGAACCAACCGGCGTCGTTGATAAAGTTGAGTATATTGTGGAGACTTATAACTATCAGATAGCTCTCGTAACGATGTGAACTCATATGCTCCTAGCATGGTATTTCTGCTCCTCATTAGAGCCGGACATTTGCAAAGAAGGTCATGTTTACTGCTTGTTCTCATCTTTGCAGCTTCCACATAAGTTGTTATAGGTGACTCCCAGCCTTCTCGCCAACCGACCAATGCCTAGTAAGAGTCGCTAAAAGCCTTGCGACGTCAGAGCTGGGGTTTCTTAATGTGTGTTCTCTTACGACAACTTGCCGCCGTGCGCCAACTTTGATCAGACTTCCGAAGATTGTGGAGAAAGATGTATCTATATAAGGTTGCAATCGGACATCAATGTGCAACCTTTTCCGGCTAACTCGTCAGCAGCCTCGTTTCCGAAAATTTTGCGATGACCAGGGACACAAACCAAATCTATGTAGATCGAGCTGACTACTTACTGAAATTCAAAGCGTCCTAGACTCCCTGATAAGTTTCGACCTTGTTGCAAAAGACGCCAAGGCCTTAATACCCGCCTAGCTATCTGAGAAAATGGCTACACGCTTGCCGTGAGGTAAACTACTACGTTCTAAGAGATGGTAGGCTACACCTATGGCGAATACCGATGCATGCAGCCTTCTGAACTCTGCCTAGTTTCACGTGATTATGTCGGTTCTCTAAGGCTGTCCACCATACCAGAGAATCGTAGCATAAGATCGAATGCACAACAGCTATGTACATACAGAGTACCACTTTTGGATTAATACCCTTTGACTACCCAAAAAGCCGCTTGCAGGAGTAATAGGCAATGCTCGCTTTCTTTACTCACTCTTCAGTATTTATTTTCCAAGTTTGCTTAAATTCCAGTACAACTCCCAGATACTTCGCTTATTTAGATAATCGTAGGTTTTGTCCATTTAGCTTTAGTAATTCAAAGCTAGCAAAGCTGTTTTAACTGGATTCACTCTAAGGCTACATTGCTCGGACTATCGCTATAGCTCAGCTAAAGTTCCATCGATGATGTTGCTCACCACAGATGCGCAGCCCGGTTACTATAATCACTACATCGTTAGGGCCGGCCACTACTTTTACTGCCTTCTGGCTGAGTAGTACTTGGTGTTTGTTGGTGCTAAACTGTAAAATTAGAGAGATCACTCTACCTTGAGTGCCCGTACTAACGTTTCTTATTAGTGTGTAGCTTTCAAGTTCCGCTGCAAAGCATCGCCATTAGCCATGCACTTATAGATTCCTCGACACCAAGCTTGTCCAGGAATTTTTGGATAGCTCCCAGCCGAACATTTTTTAAGGCTGCTTCTATGTCGAAGAAGGCTGCCAGAGTACACTGCTTAAATTCGAGTGAAAGTTTTGAAACAAAGGAAGTTAAGATAATTGCTCGAAAATCTTTGGCGTATATGTGCCCTCGCTTACCAGGTTTTGGGATGACAACTTCTTTCAATCGCCTCCAGGGACGTAGCTAAAGGCTTTGCATCCTTTGAAAATTGACAAAGGCCATGGCATGATGATGCAGATGCCCTCTTAGGCTGCAGTGCCCTGTAAAGATACGAGCAAGTACATATCTATTTTAACTTTTTCCTTTTGGAGGGTATTAGATTTTTGGACATACTTCCGGGAAGGGACAGTTCTAGGTCTCATTAGCCTTTATTTCCCTGTGGCCTGGTACCTACTCCAACTGCATATTGCAGGGCCTGCCAATGTTGTTAAGTTTCTCCAAGACCTCAAAAACGAATGATGATTTATATCATTTCTGACTATCACTTAGAATTATGATAATCTCGTTCCGCTTTTGTGTATAACTAGCGCCGCATACAAACAGATGACGTAAACTATCACTAAAAAAGTGTTTGAATACTTCACCATAGATACAGAGATTCTGGTCCTGGATCCAAAGATTTCTGCCCCCATTCGAGCAGGAGATTCCGTGTGGCATTGCAGGGTGCTAGCTTGGAGAAGTCTCTCGATGGAAAAGATGGTGTAGGTTGCTTTGCTGAATAACTCTGTATTTAACAATTTCTCAAAGATTACACAGCAGCACAAAAAAAAGTCGACAAAAGATGATCTCGAACATGGATTCAGCGACCCGAAAACATATAGTAAGACCAGTTTGGGTTATGGCGCTGTTTCGAATTTTTTTTTGTGGAGCTGTGTTCTTGTTCTGCCTATATAATCTCTAGAAAGTAGTGCTATCAAGATCGAATGTCCAAGATTCTCCTTATTTCTAGAGGACATGATCTTTCCTTCCCAAATCCCTCTTTAGAAAACCTTTGTATAGTTTTTCGGCGACCTGATCTATGGTTACATGAAGAGGCTCAAGTTCGATGAGCTAAGAATCCAAGGCACCCCGTTCCATCCGTAGTGCTATGCTTTTTGCAGATCTGTATCTTAGTTCACTGTATTCTGCTAAATAGTCCCCGGTGGCCAAACTGGAGTAGCATAATTTTGAACTGGCCGGCCAATTGCCTGGTATAGGTAACGTTTTTTGTCTTTGCCTCTATCGATTTGAGTGCTTTATTGAAGTTCTGTGGTTTAATGACGATTTCAGTTGTGTGGGTGGATATGGCCAAGCAGTTAATGCTAACCCCAAAAATTGTCAGGTCATTAAGCGCCGGTATTACTAGTTTGCTATTGGTGTCGATGCCTAACTTGCCCTCCTTCAATCTAGTGTTTGAAAGGTTGAAGACCAGTGAATCTCGAAGATGAAGTTTTGATACATACGTAGAAGTTAAACCGAAAAGGCCAGATGGCTAATATATGCAGCGACTCCTAGACCACCCGTCCACCTCTTCTAAAATGTAGAAAAATGGTTATTATTGGAAAACGGAAAAATATTTATTACCAAGCAGAGGATGCTCTAACTTTTGGTGTATTTTTAAAATAGGACATATATATATATGCGTTTTACAACAGTTTCGGATTCTGCGGATAAAAGTACGTATCTTTTGTTTCGAATTTTTTTTTTTCTGAACTGCATTGTTCAATTTCTAAATTTAACTCATTTCCGATCGAAACATTTTCTTCCATTTAAGAAAGGGTGAACGGGTGGTCCAGAACACACTGTATACATATCCACCATAGACTTTGAGGTACCAGACAGCAGACAAATGCATGAGAACTTATGTAACTTTCAAATATCTTGGCGCGAAATGAAAATTAAATGCTGTCGCTGAAAAATCCACGATTTTTTTCCTTCTGCCTTTTTTAGCTCCGCTCGTAACTATGCTAATAGAATAGAGCGATCTAATTTTTATAATCATTTATTTAATATACATATAAATACTTCCTTTGATTATCACAAAAAGTAAAAGAAAAAAAACTATTTCATTTCCTTCACAGGGACCCAATGGATTCGTTTCTCCTCGAGCAACATCTTCGCTCGCCGTTACGCTTCTTTCCCGATCCTCTAATGGCACAACTCTCGCCACAGGAAGCCGATGCAGCTTCGCTGGCATTTCTCGAGAAGGCGCGTCAGCATTTGCAAATATTTGGTCGTTCACCGTACACCGAAATGCTGCTGCCACAAATCTATCAACGCCCGCCTGTACTCAACGCTTTCAATATTGGCATGTGGCAGCAACAGTGGCCCCAACTGACCGCCGGTTTCATAGCGAGCGCCAATCAACAGGCTGCAGCCGCACAAGCTGCTGCCGCCGCCGCTGCAGCGGCTAATGCTTGCCGCACACCGCCGCCGCCACCGCCATCGACAATAATGGTCGGAGTGCCACAACCTCCACCAGCTACGACGCCATCCTCGTCCGGATCGGCCTCACCTGATATGCGCATACGGCATTTTCAACGCTACAGTCCGTATCAGTTGCCACAGCAACAGCAACAGCAACAGCAGCAGCATCAACAGCAACCGCCAATGGCGCGTACCCCACCGCTTTGAGCGGTGAGCTGAGTGAGAGTGGATGTAAAATGTGCAATCCAATTTGTAAAATTTGCATAAGTTTTCTTTATAATACATATTTATGTATTAACTAGCTAATACATACATATTTTTGAAAACTCTCAATGTTGCTAAAAGTCGCAGCGTGTTTTGAGGCAACATGTTGCAGCAATATTTCTGTTTAAATGCAAAATTCGTTTGTAATTTTATTTGCGTGTTCGAAATGTAAAAAAGATGCGATAACAAAATTAATCGAAATATTTAGCAAATATACATTGTATTGTAAATGAAGTATATAATTAAGTACATTGTATTAAATATGTGCGATTACAGTATTAAAATTAGGCGATTGCGATAATGTAATTTATTTTCCAATGTACAGAAATCTAATTTCAAATATTACTAATTATTTATTTATCAAATATTGTAATTTTAATACATATTATATGTTCCTACGTAATTAATTTGTATTTGTAATTCCATAATAAAAAATATTTATGCATGTATTGTATGTATGTACATAGAAATATGTCTTATGTTGTACAAAATCTAATAAAATGATAATAAATATGACCACTTTTAAAAGTTATTAAATTTAAATCAGGCCAACAAGAAAATTTTAGTCAGAGGTAATTTCTTTCGATTTTCAGCTTTAAATTTAAAAACCAACTAGTCCATTAATAAGCTATTTCCAGCGTTTATTAAAAAAGGTCTTAGTAAGAAATTTGCAACAGAAGAACTAAAATTATTTTAAAGGTTTACAAGGACTCCGCAAAGGAACAAACATTTTGGATAGAGCCTTTCTAATAAGTTTGATGTATGTTTGTTCAAAACTTACCATCGATTTCTTAAAATTTAAATGCCGCTTGGATGACAATTGAAATCGAAACAGTTCCAGTTTTTATAATAATTTTATCGCAACAGTCTTACCAAATGCAACAGTTCTTGTTGCAACATTGTTAATTCGTAATACTTATGACTTTTCAAAAATTATTTATTACGATTTGCATTGTGGTTGACGCTGTGGCTGAGTAGTTAGAGGCGTGTACTACCACTCCTTAGGACCCGAGTGCGATCCCTGGTCCGAGCAACAGTTGAGTGTATTTCTGTCTAGACATATACCACAAATTGGAAGTGAAGGTTCGCCAAATACTTAGCAAAAGTGTAAGCGCTGAAATGTTATTATTTTTTATTGTTACGACGACCGTTCCTAGCGAACTTTTACTTTCAGAAAAAGGGGCAGATATTAATCGAGCGACGAGAGAGTTCGGATCCAAACAATATGGAGAAATAGACTTCTTTAACCATAGATTAATGAGATTCATAAAAACTTCAACGATCTCTTAACAGCTTTTATTCCATATTTGCGGGTCTTATTATAAATTCCAATATTTCGGTACCGAGTATCGAAAGTATTGAATACTCTCCAAATCGGTACCGAGTATCGATCCATACTTAAAAGTACCGACTCAGCACATCACTACTCAATGGAAAATGAGTTTAGCCTGACACAAGTTTACGACAGTTGGTTGAAACTGTCAAGCATTGCTATGGGAAAAAATATCCCGCTGTCCAACAATAGATACCCGGTGTCCAAGAATACCCCCGACTTCCCCTACAAAGATTGACGACTATGATTGAATAAAAACATGCCACGGTTTCAGTACCGTTACCATTCAACATAGTGGAAAAGGATTCCTATCGTAAAAATAGGTTCCTGACATCGGTCAAAAGGTCATCTTGGTTGTTCTTAAACCTCTTCATTATATTTTAGCCTGCTTCTTGTTTTTACGCCTTCCTTCCCTCTTCAGTTCGACCGATCGCAGCGTGGCCTTGTAGACGGGATCTTTTCTTCTGCAACGACGTGACATTTTTTATACCCGAGCGCACTTGTGCACAAGGGTATTATAACTTTGTTCACATAACGGTTGTTTGTAACAGGCAAAAGGAATCGAGATAGATATAGACAAATGTATACATAAATGATCAGAATGAAAAGAGAAATCGATTAAGCGGTGACTGTCTGTCCGTCCGTCCGTCCGTCCGTCCGTCCGTCTGTGCACACGATAACTGGAGTAAAAATTGAGATATCTTAACGAAACTTGGTATGTCCACTTCTTTCATGCGTGGGACGGATGGTATTGAAAATGGGCGAAATCGGACAATAACCACGCCTACCTCCCATATAACGGTAATTTTCAGAAACACGAAAACTGCGATAATTTAGTAACTACTGAAGATTATTCTCCCAAAATTGATATTTACAATAAGTTTTAGACGAAAAAGAAGAATATTATAAAGTTTTGGAAAATGGGCGTAGCCACGCCCACTTATGGTTACATGTGTATATCTTGGTAACCGCTGCACCAATTTCTTCCAAACTTGGCACAGTTGTTGGCCTTGGTACAGCATAATAAACCGCCGAAACTTTTTAAAATCGGACAATAACCACGCCCACATCCCATATAACGGTAATTTAGAGAAATACAAAATCTTCGATAAATCAGTAAATATTAAAGCTAATTTATTCAAAATTGATGCTTGCAACAATTCTTTACCAAGAAATACGTTTATGGTAAAATTTTGGAAAATGGGCGTGGCACCGCCCACTTATGATCACATATAAGTATATCGGTAACCGTTCTACCAATTTGTACCAAACTCGGTATGGTTATTGTACTTGCCACGTGTAAGCAAAACGTTGAAAATTATTGAAATCGGACTAAAATAACGGCCGATTCTCATATAACGGTAAATTTAAGAAATGCTTGAAACTTCAATATTTCGAAATTGAAGGACGCTAATTTACTCAAAATTGATACACCTCGGCTTACCATCTAGCGGAAGGTTTCGGAAAGGTGAAAAACATATATTTAATACTTGCGCCGGGTATTTAATGTTCGGCTCCGCCCGATCTTAGACTTTCTTACTTGTTGTTGTTTTAGATTTTTTCTGTGCTGAAATCCAGTTATTTCTGCGGCAGCAGCGCACAGTGGCTCAAAATTGGAATCTCGTGTTCACAATTATGTACTTGAAGCCTTCATTTTTCACTCAATATGATTATTTTTTTTTCTGAAAGCTAATAAAATTTGCAAGATACCAATTATATCAATTATAACAATTTGATAATTTTTTTCTAATAAAAGCTGATAAAATTTTCAGTTAAAGAATGTCACATAATAAAAACTAGCCGAAAACAATTGTAAGATTCTCCCAAAACGAAAAGAATTAAAAGAAAAAATAATTTGAATTGTTATAAAAAAATGTTCAAGAAAATTATTTTTGTTTTTGTTTTTGGTTTTTTTAGAAGTTTTCGGCATGCAGTTTTATAGATCATTAAATTTTAGGCTAAGATTTCGCGTTGACTTTTAATAATACATATGACAAACGCTTTTAGCATGCTGATGTGCTCGAAATGTTGGCAAAAAAAAAATACTTATAAATCAACTCGACCTCTTAGCCACTTTCAAATTTCACTTTATTATACTAAAATTTAATGATCTATAAAATTGCATAGCCAACATATTTCTGGAAAATATTTTTTTTTTATTTGGGGAAAATTTTTCATAAAACATTTAAATTTTTTTTTGTGATTTTTTTTTTCGTTTCGGGGCCCCTACAATTGTTTTCAATCGTTTTAAGTTTTTATAATTTCGTTTTTATTAGGTAACATTTATTCAGAATTGCAACATTTGCTGCACTTTACACGAAATAAAAATTTAATACAAAGAAACAAATATTCAAAAATAGAACTCTTTATTAGTTTCCGTTAAATTAAAATAATCATATTGAGTGAAAAATTAAGACTCCAGTGAATTTTGAACACTAAATTCCAGTTTTGAACCACTGTGCGGCGTAAGTGCGCCTAGAACACTGGCAACGGGTAATCCGTGTATGACAACAAGACCGATTTGATTTTTCGATATGGAAGAAGCCAATAAGATTGTTGGTTCTTCTTATTCTGAAGCTTAGTGGTACAGACCAGGGTTGTTGCGAATATTCGCTTTTGCATTCGCTTTCGCATTGTATATATGTACAAATGTCTTTAAACATATTATTTCTTAAGCTATATAACCGAGCTATCAATGGGCAGTCATAAAAGATCTCACTTCTACTTGGCCTTTGACGTACGTCAGAGAACATAGTCCTTTTAACAATACTTTTTTTTTGTTTTCTGTGTGTGTTTTAAATACCTGCATTGGTTTCTTTCTTTATTAAGATTTTTTTTGTCCAATCTTAAAACAAAAACTACTAGACATAAAAGAAGAAAGTGTGCACTTTACTTTACTTTAAACCAAATTTTCGTGATTTACTTTTGATGTTACATATATTCGTTTAAATCAGTTCAAATGGGAAACTTATTTTTAGGAAAAATTTCAAAACCCGTAATTTGTCTACTTGTCGGGCAATATTTTTTATATTGATATCCATTGAATCCTTGGCCAAAAACTTATTTGGCAAAACTGCCCCCCTACGTATCCCTTCTTTGCTCAAATAATTAAAAATCTGATCTTTAATTAGGTAAGAATTAAAATTCCACATTCGCCACAACCCTACTACAGACGACCACGTTTCGAGAACGGCGAAATCGACCAGATCATAGAGTTAGTTTTTGTGAATGCTAAAGACACTCGATTTCGCAATGACCAGGTTCCATTTGACACATCTTATTGTATAATAACAGCGAGGATAACTGTTGTCTTGTTGCATGTATAATATAAATCACATCACCCCTTATTACGAGTACAGTTCCAAAAATTATAAAAAGGAAAAGGAACTACATATCGTCACCTGAAATGCAAACCTACGTAGCAAACATCGTCACTGAAATAGAAAAAGTCATAACTAATATTTTTTTTTCATAAAACGATGTGAGTAGTCGTAATTCGATGAAATCCATCATATTAATCAAAAAGTGAATTTGGAGTTTTTTATTAGTTACGACTTTTTGCATTTCAGGTGACGACATGCAGTATATAAAATGGTATATAAGAGTGAATAACTTAAAAAAATTTTAAGCGATTTGTACATATTTGTTTCAAAATTTTGCCGCAGACGT